TACTCAGGGCTACCGTAGCCCATACCTCTATCAATTGCCAATATCGGCCATCTGCGTTTGATCACTGATCATGGACGTAGCATTGATGATTTAATTTGTGAAAATTGCTATCTTCTTATCTGTTTCTCGTGCAATCCTTTAATATTTTTTCAGATCAGTGTCAGTGTTGATGATCGTTATTATGTGCTATCAGTTGCTCTTTTAAATTTTACCATTGCCTATTCGAGAAAACTAAACAGATTGACTCCATATATTAATTCTGAACTGTTTGTACGTTGTTACCAGCATAGTTGGAGGCGTGTCCTATTTAGAATCACAAACTGGTGACAAACCAGAGTGTGTGGCTAACTGATTCATAACCCTGTGAACTTTGAAAGAGCAACTAATATACTCCAAACTGGTATTTTTTTTTAAATTAAATTAAATTAAATTTGACTTTCCTCCATCTGTTTTTTCCAAAAATGCACCCCCCCTTTTTAAATACTAAATATCAGCCGATACCCCCCAGACTAGGCGTAGAGTTTATTATAGTTTCTTGATTCCCCGTTGTCAACTGTTGAAAAATAACAATACCAATTTGAATATTTCAAAAAAAATGAAACGGCTTATGTTGATCATGTTAGACATCTGCAATCACTGCAGTTCTGTGGCTCTTGGTTTTGCTGCATTTGTGGTCATCAGTAGAGTTATTTTATCTGTTATAGTACATTTGTATTACCTGATGCCAATCATCATTCTGGGCCCATCTAAAAGTGCTTTAGATTGGTGTATATTGCTCGGTTTGGCCATAACCTTTCTACAATTGATGGGTCCAAACTAATTTGTCATGTGTCATGAGATTATTACTTAGAAATGGCTTTATTATCTCACCTCTTACATGTTATAACATCACATACAATGTGCTGTCGTCTCCAGCTTCTCGGTATTGAAAGTACTAAAGTCATAACAAACATCTGGGAAGAACACTGCTTGGAATAACTGAAATGATTCCAGGGAAACTACTGGGTAATAGGAAAACATTAGTTTTTATAAGAAACTTTTTTTAGTGCCCATTACAAACGAAACTGCCCTTGCTCTTTCAATTAACTCAACTTTTTCTGGTATGTTCACATTTCAGAAAGCTTTGGACAGAATTACCCAGAGGTAAGTTACCGTAAAAGCTCAATCAATTTGACCATGTGGAAATAAATAATTTTTGTAGGTGGTCCAATTGGTTGAATGAATATGGAAAATATGTTTCCAAAGTGGTTAATTTGTTATCTTTAGAAAAAGAACATTTCTATCAGTTGTTAGGAATACATATATAAGTAACAAAAACTAAAAA